ATCTATTACATGCACAGGTCTTCTACACAAAATTGTTTTTTTTATACAGTGTACTCACCAGACCTCCTTTTGCACAGTTTTTTTTTCCTTACTTTCACAGGATCCCTACTTTCACAGGCCTACTTCCAATGGGGTGATTGTCGTCTGGTCTGGGGGGGTGCTTCTAGGTACTCCGGGGACCCTGGAATGTTTCTAGGGGGCACCATCCCTTAGAGGGACCACCGCCCTTTAGAGGCCACCTGCTGATCAGCAGAACTTGTGCCCACCAGAGTTCTGAATGGCTATTTACCTTTTAGTACTCCAGACAAACCCTGAATAAAAGGAATCTACAAATTAAACATAAGGGTGACGGACAAATTCACAGTCATGATCAATGGTCCCTGGTCAAAACAGACAGCATAATCATTGAAAAGAATTTTACCACTTTAAAAGTACACTGAAAGAAATTTTAAAGCATCAATCTTTACTAAAAGACAAAGCAAAAGGAAAACCACAAATATTTCTCCCGAAGTGAAACTAAAAAGAGTTTCCTGTCAGAGTTAACCCATGATTTATTTAAATAAACATTCAAGGTCTTATCTAGACCTCAAAAGACATTAGACAAAATACAAGAATTTACAAATCAAACATAACTGTGACAAACAAGTCCAACATAAATTTGACTGGCAAGTTGCACACAATCTTACTATCATAAGGTTTTAACCTTAATTTTTCTAATAGCGTGAAATGAAAATGAGGAAGGGAAAAATGTGCCACTTTTGAAAAGGGGGATGGCTATTGGGTGAATGGGGAAGTTGGGGTAACAGACACACTAATAGCTAATACACGCTGCAGGAAAGAAATGGATAGACAGAGAGATGGACAGACAAATATTAGTCAGATATAAAGTTATACCTGACTCTCATTCAGGTGCCCTCCTGGCCATGTCCCCGAAAGGATTTTCAGCTCTTATCTTAGCATAGACGGGGAGGTATAAACCCCACTCCAGGTCACCCCGAGGGGCCTGCCACTAAGCTGTATGATAGAGCCTCGGAACTGCGGGTTGGGGCCCAATCAGACTCCATAACCACAGAAGTGGTTATGGAAGACTCCACATAACACACATTCACACAGAAGAGACTGACTACTGAACTGAACTGAAAACCTCAAAAAAACCACAAAACCAAACATAAACTCAAGAAGTCTGTCCAAAGAGACGGGGGGGGGGGTGCCTCTCTCTTGCTGGGGGCTGTTAGTCCTGCCTATAACATGCAGGTAGCCTGCCAGCTCGGGCCCCTACTCCCCTGCCCCAAGAACTAGCCTCCTAGCTGCGTCCAGCATATGCCTACAAGTAGGCAGTAGGAAGCTTAGCTCCTCCAAGGGAACAAAACATAGAACATGTAGGTATGTAATTTCCCCAGACTTCAACAATACCGTAGGGCAACCAAAATAGACAGTACAAAACAAGAATATACAGACAGACGGACTCACCAAATTGGAAAATTGAGGAACCTGGGCCTGTAAATCTATGCCTGAGGGCTCAGGGACAGGGAGAAAACTCCCCAAGACCTCCCCCTAGAGCCATCCCAGCGGCAGGCCCAGGCAGGGGTCCACGTATCTCTCTGGGGCCTCCAATTGAAAAGAAACCGAGCCACGGAGACAAAAAGGTGGACCCCACTTTGATGCAATAATTGATAAAATTGATTACACCTGCAGGGGGCTGGATGCCTCAAAGGGCATGCAGCCATGAATAGCCAGTGAAAAATCCTTTTATACTGTTATTCTGCATAATCAGCAAGCTAGTGCAATACAGAAGCCAATCATAGCAGTTAGAGCGGGATCGCAAGGAGAGGGCATGTATTGATTCATAAGTCACAGGATACATCACAAACACATTACTTCATCATCATAAGATGGGGGTATATTATAAGGGGTTACACAATTTAGGTTGGGGTTACATGCTAACTTAAGGTACATTAACTAACAATTCATCAAATAAAGGGTGCAACAAGTATTCGGTAAATTTGCAAGAACAACTTGGGCCTGAAACCAACTTGGGCCCTTTTCACCTGGGGTATCCACTCTTCCCTTCCTTCCTTCTTATCTTAAGTTTCTTCCCAGAACTTAACTTCTCCTCCCTTGTGGGGGCTGAGGCTAAAATGCTTAGGAAAAATTCTTTTTCCAAGTATATGGGGTTTGTTGCATTTCTTACTAGTCCTGTGGGTTAGGGTCTGAGGCTCTGTTATTACAGTAAGATGGTATCTCGTTGTAGTTTTAATTTGCATTTCTCTGATAATTGGTGATTTTGAGCATTGTTTTCACATGTTTGTTAACTATTTGCATATCTTCTTTTGAAAAATGCCTGTTCATATCATTTGCCCACTTTATTAAGGGGTTGGCTGTTTTTTCCTTATTGAATTCTTCAAGCTCCTTGTAGATTCTAGGTAGTAGTCCTTTATTCAGATGTCTACTTCACAAATGTTTTCTCCCATTCTATACGTTGTCAGTTTGCGCTTTTGATTACTTCTTTTGCTGTACAGAAGCTTTTTAGTTTTAAGGACCATTTTTCTTTTTTTGTGTTGTTTCATTTCTTTTTGGCACCTTAGTTACAAATTTTTTGCCTAGGGCCATGTCCAAAAGAGTTTTTCTGTTCTTCTAGAATGTTTATGGTGTCAGGTCTCTCACATTTAAGTCTTTACTCCATATCGAGTTAATTCTTGTATATGGTAAGAGATAGGAATCTAGTTTCATTCTTCTGCATGTGGCTAATTTTCCCAGCATCATTTATTAAATAGGGTATCTTTTCCCCAGTGTATGTTTTTGTCTCCCTTGTTAAATCAGTTGGTTATAGGCATATGATGTTCTTTCTGAGTTCTCTATTCTAGTCCGTTGATCTATGTGTCTACTCTTATGCTGGTACCAGGCTGTTTTGGTTACTGTAACCTGGTAGTGTAATTTAAAGTCAGGTAATGTGATGCCTCCAGATTTGTTCTTTGTTGTTTATGATTGCTTTGGCTATTCAGTCTCCTTTTTTGCTTCCACATAAATTTTATTTTATTTTATTTTTTTTTTTGAGAGAGAGTCTCACTATGTCACCCTTGGTAGAGTACCAGGGTGTCACAGCTTACAGCAACCTCCAACTCTTGGGCTTAAGTGATCCTCTTGCCTCAGCCGCCCAAGTAGCTGGGACTACAGGCACCTGCCCAACTCCTGGCTATTTTTTTGTTGCAGTTGTTTAGCTGGCCCAGTCTGGGTTTGAACCTGCCACCCTTGGTGTATGTGGCTGGTGCTGTAACCACTGTGCTATGGACACTGAGCCTCACATGAATTTTAGAATTGTTCTTTCTAATTTATTTCATTTCTTTCATATTCTATGAAAAATGATGTTGGTATTTTGATAGGAATTACATTTGGGCAGTTTGGTCATTTTAATATTTTTCCAATGAACATGGGATGTTTTTCCATTTGTGTCCTCTGCAGTTCCTTTCATCAGTGATTTTCAGTTCTCCTCATAGAGATCTTTTACGTCCTTGGTTAAATATATTCCTAGGTTTGTTTGTTTGCAGCTATTATAAACAGGATTGTTTTTAATTAGGTTCTTAGCTTGGGCATTATTGGTGTATAGAAATGCTATTGATTTTTGTATGTTGATTTGATAACCTGAAACTTTGCTGAATTCATTTGTCCCATCTGGATATCTTCTGGGGGGTCCTCAGGGTTTTCTAGGCATAAGTTCATATCATCAGCAAACAGATAATTTGACTTCTTTTCTAATTTGGATGCCATTTCTTTCTTTCTTTTACTTGATTGCTCTGCCTAGGACTTCCAGGACTATGTTAAGTAGAAGTAGTAAAAATGAGGAGCCTTGTGGCAGCACCTGCAACTCAAAGGCAGGGTGCCAGCCCCATATGCCAGAGGTGGTGGGTTCAAACCCAGCCCCAGCCAAAAATTGCAAAAAAAAAAGATTAAAATATGAGCAGCCTGGACTTGTTCTGGTTCTTGGGGAGACTGCTTTCAATTTCCTGCCTTTCAGTATAATGTTGGCTGTGGTTATCATATGTGGCTTTTATTATTTATTTGAGTGTTCCTTCTATGCTGAGTTTTTTGGGGGTTTGTATCATGGAGGTATTCTGGAGTTTTTCAGATGCTTTCTCTGAATCTATTAAGATGATCATATGGGGTTTTTCTTTGTTTATATGGTGAATCACATTTATTGACCAGTGTCAATACAACCCTTCTTATATTCCTCGGATTGATTGTGGTAAAGTATCGTTTTGATGTGTTATTGGATTCAGTTACTCAGTTTGCTAGTATTTAATTTAGTTAAGGATTTTTTCATCTGTGTTCATCAGAGATACTAGTCTGTGGTTTTCATTTTGTTGTTGTTGCCGCGTCACTTCCTGGCTTGTAGGTGAGGGTGATACTGGTTTTGTAGAATGGGTTAGAGAGGATTCCCTCCTCAGTCTTTTGGAATGGTTTCAGGAGGAATTGGCACCAGTTCTTCTTACAAGTCTAGTAGAATTGGGCTATTAATCCCTCTGCCTGGGCTATTTTTTGTGGGGGCAATTTTTTTTTATAACTGATACATTCTCACTACTTGTTATTGGTCTATTCAGGGTTTCTATTTTTTTCTAGTTCAGATTTGGAAGGTTGTATGTTTCCTAAGACAAAATTTAAAAAAAAAAGCGCTGAGGCGGTCTTTTCTTATTATACTATTATTATGGGGGTTTTTTTGTTATTTGAAATCTTTCCACTATGTGGAGTTAGATAATTTATTAAATTCCTGTGTACATTTTGAACCTGTTATTTCCTAATTCATAATTATCTCTTCTTATGGCAATATCCATGAAGAAAAAAATACACATTTGCTATAAACTGGATAGTTTCATTTATTGTGAAAGGTATGACTAAATCTGTCATTGATTTCTTTTTTTATGACAGCATTCGAAAACAAGAAAATGATTTATTGGATTTTATTTTTATTAGAGCAAAAAAAAATTTTTTTTGTTTTCTCTTATTAGGGATCCTCAGTTCCTGAATTAACACATTCTGACACTTACCAAACTAGGGAAATATCTTCCAGTGGTAAGTTATATACATTTCTGGGATGATTATATTTGTTTTAAGAATGCTGTTTTAGGGGCCAGGGATTGTTTTTCTTGTTCTTTGTTCTTTTTTTTAAACTGGAAATCATTTCTTTTATTTTAGATTCTGGATCAGACTGGGGCCAGGGAATTTATCTTACACACAGTCAGGGGTTTGACACAGCATCAGAAGGCCGAGGAGACGAAGGTGAAAGTTCAACAGATTCCTTTCCAAAGAAAATAAAGGTACTTTTACTAACTTAACCGGTATTTTCTTATTGAATGTAAGCTTATTAGAAGTTATATTGTGAGGCTCGGCACCTATAGCTCAACTGGCTAAGGCGCCAGCCACGTACACCTAAGGTGGCGGGTTCGAATCCCCAGCCCGGACCCGCCAAACAACAATGAC